CATAAAACATTTTCGTTTTCTTTTGTCAAGATGAACCCGCAACAATAGTCACCTTTGCACATTTCTCCCAAACCACTACCCCCGCCCCCTCCAACTTACGTAAGTAAACACGTAAACCATTCCAAATATCACTGTCGTTCCTTCTCATCGGACACTCGCGAAACTTCGCAGGCTTAGTTCCGCAACTCGAAAACTAAAAGTAAAACACTCGGTTTGACTATCTGACATTTCAATAACTGCTGAGAAGGTATCAAAGTCTTCGGGTGAGCGCAGGTGCCACTTGCGCTCCCCGTCCCCTCGAGCGCCGTGCTACCAACCTACCGCCACCAAACTACGAATTCAAATTAAACGATCGTTTATTTCAAACATCTAATATCAAACTTCTAAACTAAACTCGTTACGTCTCGACTTATATACTGAAGCTTCGTGCGCAGTTTGAAGTCAATTGAAGTTACCGTCTGAGAGAAACGTGGGCCAGAACAGACAGACAGACAGACAGACAGACAGACAGACACACGACCAAAGAGTCCTCTGCACCCCACATCACAGCAAAGGCTTCGCAAGCTCAGCCAATAAGATTATAAGAATGATTATAAGATTTTAAGAATGATTATAAGATTATGGAATGATTATAGGATTGTAGAAAGATTATAGATAGATTATTGAGATCATAATAAATGTAGAATTACAACAAGACGAGGAAGAGGAGGGAATACCACTTTCCGCACATGTCCCAGCACGGGGAGATACCGTGCGGGCAGGAAAGGGAATTGGGGGGGGGGGGTACTTACAACGTCATGGTTACCTAATCGACCCAAGATTTCGGATGTGGTAACCGATTTTGGTTTTTGTCTAGAAAATAAAGGGTATTCATGAAGTACGACCTCACTCCAATTTAGGGCTCTTTGGCTCAAACGGTTTAGGAAGTACAGATACCAAAACTTTTGAGGCAAAAACTGCGTATTTGAGAGGGAGTTATACGTAAAACTGTATGAATCCTTGAAGTGGGGTCAAAACTGACTACACCATTGGAAAGAGATTTGAAAACTGATTCAAAGCCAACCATGCTGCTAAAAGTTGGATTTGTGTTTCCTACCCCTCGATCAAATATATCAAAAAAAAAATTAAAAAAAAAAAAAAAATTAGCAGAATGTCGTAACTCTCTCATAA